GTTGTTGTTGTTGTTGTTGTTGTTGTTGTTGTTGTTGTTGTTGTTGCTGCTGTTGTTGTTGTTGCTGCTGCTGTTGTTGTCGTTGTTGTGGTCGTTGCTGGTGCTTCTGTGGCTGTTGTTGTGGTTCTTGTTGTCCTTGTCATTGTTGTTGCTGCCGCTGCATTGGCGGCCGCTGCTGCAATTGATATTATTGTTGTCGCTCTGCTGTTGCTGTTGTTGAGTGCGTTCCACAGGGTCTGTGCGCACCAGCGAATCCCCTTTCGCCCAAAGCACAGTCAGCAAAATAATCAGAAAATTAAGAAAAAGTTCAAAAAGACTTATAGAAGGTGAAGAACTTCTAGGAATATGAAAACATAATCCAAAAACATAATCCAAGCAACTTCTGGCTGGGAAAATGTACGTAAGGTTGTTTGACGTATGGAGTTAAATCAATGCGTTAAAACTTGAAATAGGAAAAAAAACTATTGTTGTTTTATTCTCCCTGTAGACTCTGTTCAATTTGGGCACTGCCTCAGTATTGTGGCGTACTGCGCATCCACACGGGCCTGCAAGGCCCGACCAAACAAGGAAAGTAAGGGGCCTACAGGCCCTGCGTCGTTTTCAGCCTGAAAGCCTGAAAACAAGGGCCTACAGGCCCTGTGTCGTTTCCAGCCTAAAAGCCTGAAAACAAGGGCTTACAGGCCCTGTGTCGTTTCAGCCTGAAAGCCTGAAAACGAGGGCCTTCAGGCCCTATGTCGTTTCAGCCTAAAACAGGGCCTTCCAGGCCCTGAGTCTTTTCAGCCTGAAACGGAGGGTCATTTTCGGGCCCTCATAAAGTCGACCTGCCCTGAAACTTAGGCACCAGACCAGGGTTTTAGCACAGGCTATTTTTGGCCTGTTTTTAAGACAGCCTTTGTTTGAACTTCAAAGCCAGGGTCTGGCACGTTTTGGCATTGGCAAGAGCAGCCTCCTGGACGGGCCAGACTGGCCCGCCCTACAGGCTGCAGACAGTCACGAGGTAGTTCCTAGGAACTTCCCAGGCACTTCACGTGCACGAGGCAGGAGGCAGTCTTCAGATTCGGCAGCAGCACTCTGGAGGAGCGCTGCAGTAGTCGTAGTAGCGTTAGCGGTAGCCTTTAGCGCTGGGCGCTATCAGGAGGTGGAGTAGTAGTGGAGAGAGAGTGATTTTTGGCGGAGGCCAGGGAGACTTACCTGTGGCGCCATAGCTCCAGCTTCGTCTTCGATGTACCTGCAACAAGGCGCCACCTTCACAGGTTAGTACTGGACTCTGAGAGAGAGAGAGAGAGAGAGTTCTTCTTCTTCCTCTTCTAAGTCCACCATCTCCTCCTCCCCCTCTCGCTACCTGACTTCTCAGTATCTGCAGACTACGAGAGAGAGAGAGAGAGATTGGTGACTATGGGACTTGACGACATTGGATCCAGACTCAACATTGGGATTCAGACATTTGACGAGGGATTATTAGGGGCCTGTGCCGAAGACTTGGTGTTGACGACATTCCCATCTTCCCCTCTTCTTCGTCTGTGTATGGTTGGGAACTGGCGCATTCTTCCTGTGTGAGCGCCAGGCCCCTTCACACCATGGAATGATGATGATGTATGTTTGGGCTGCATTGCGACATTGATTGTTCGGATCATTGGTATTTAAGTCTTCCGCTACGCTATCTTGTACTTTGTGAGAGAGGTCGGTTCTTGTTCTGGTCTGCACCTTTACGGCATGCGGCAGTATGCTGGTCAGTATTATTTGCTCTATTTCTCATGTTGGTCTATTTCTCAAGTTGTGTTTGTTATCCTTGCACAGGGCCCATGTTACTTTTTATGGTGTCGTCTTCTTAACCACCCATGCCTTCTGAAGCTATTTTGTTTCATCATGAGGGTTTAACTGGGGGTTTGGCCCTATACAATACGAAACATTTTGTGCCTGGACTTGTTCTTTTTCTTGTGGCACGGGCCCATGTCACTTTTCATGGTATCGTCTTCTTAACCACCCATGCCTTCCCAAGCTATTTTGTTCCATCGTGAGGGGTTAACTGGGGGTTTGGCGCCATACAAAACGAAACATTTTGCGCCTGCACATGTTCCTTTTTTGTCGTGGCACACAGCAGAAATCTGGGCCAGAGAGGATGGAGGAACTGGTGGGGCATAGACACCAGTGCATTTGCTGATAAATCCAGGCGTAAAAGTTGATACATCAAGAAAAGTCCTGCGAGTATGCGATTAATGTCAGTGCGTGCACTTGCAGGAGGGAATAAATGTAGTCCCTCCTTTTTCCTTCTTTTTTTTCTCCTTTTTTTATCTCATTGTTAACGACTAAGGAGGACCCGTTCTCCTCGTCAGGTCATTGCAGTTTATGACCAGTTTATGACTGGCTAGCAGCTACAGTTGGAGGAACCAGTTTAGCTGATTTTGGTATAGCCACGACTTGTTTTTTTTGCCTTTGTGTTTTTTACTGGGCATGTGTGAGTTGATGGATGCCTTTTCGGACTGTTGTCTCTTGTTTGATTTCAGATAATGGGTTGCGACAGCTTCGCGCATTCACGTATCAGGCTGTCAGTCAGTTGGCGCAGCGGACTCCTCACCTCGTCAGGTCCGCTTGCGTTTCGACCAGATACCAAGTACTGCTCTTCTGCTCTAGCTCATTATCCTCCATGCTTTCCTTCATCGTGATATCCTAGATCTTGCTGAGGGTGTCTGTCTCTTGCTTTGCGACGAGACCCCTTTTGCTGATTGCTTCGGCTATTGATGACCGTCCTCAAACTCGTCTGGCCCTCGCTCTTTCCCACCTCCTCTGTTGCCCTACCAATCTTCCTGCCATTTGATATCTCTGGCCTGCCCTTTGTCTACAGATCTTGGTCGCTCCGTCCGTCCCTCTTGCTGCATTCTCCATTCTTCCTTGGTTATTAGATCACCCTCTGCACAAACTCCTCTCCCCCACTTCAAAGGCCTATCGATCTTGGTCTCTCCGAATATCCCTCTTGCTGCGTTATCCATTCAGAGGCATATCAGTCCAATAAGGGAGGCGCACATGTTGATTGTTGCTGTTCCCTGTTTATGGTATAATAGACATACAAATTGGTACAATAGACCTATTATGAGCTGGACACCTGTTGGATTTGGTTGATGGAAGATCTCCTAGGATGGGCGAGTTCATGCCTTCTTATATGGGGTAGGCAGTTTGTAGTTTGTCATACCCGACTGCCCTGGTCCCTGAAAAGGTACACATATACAAATGTTGGTACACAACAAGTGACGAGTTCGAACTTCTAATTTGGACTGTCATACACTATACGATCATGTCAGGGTCGATTTACCTCCTCTCTCCCCCTCTCCCTTGCCCCTCCCCTTTTGATTTTCTTTTTTTTGAAAAAGAATGGCTAGGAAGCTAACTGAAAGAGGATTGTTAATGGGAAAAGGAAGTCGTCAAGTTTTCAGTCTGTGGAGGTTGACATGCAAGACTTGCCTTGATGATTGAATGAGAATTATGCAGTCTATGTATTGTTGCAAGCTTATGTGCTCTTGGTTTGCTGTTATGGACCGGAATAGGTAAAGACGTTGATTTTTTGACTGATATATTGAATGAAAAGTTAAAAACGCATCCATAATTAGTCTTCCATTCTGGATTTTAAAGATATTTGAGCCAAGATAGGGTTAAGAAGAAGTGGACCTTTCCTTTGGTGCATCTGTTAATTTGGAACGATCCGGAGAATAATAGCATGGACTCTGTAGACGTTACAACCAAAAAAAAAAAAAAAAAAAAAAAAAAACTTAAAAAAATCTGGAAATCTCAAAATTTGAAGGACAAAAAGAAAAGTTGACTTGGCCCGTTCGTTTCTCTCTTATTCTTGGCAGTGGGACCACGTCAATGGCAACAAGGTTCTTTTCTGCACTGAAGACAGAGTCTCCGGCGGTGAAGTCAAGTGTGCAGGAAGGGCTTTCTGCACTTGCGGCGGCATACCAGGTCAGAATTACACATTGCAGTTTCTTATTCCCCGTTTCTGGTACCCCACTGATGGTTGTTTCCATTTCCATCCAAAGCATGGGAGTAGTAGTCGTGGAGGCACTGTGTCCTGTGAATGAGATCGGCGTCAGATGAATGCACTTCGCGGACCCGCAGCCTCGGCGGGTCTTCTTCTTTAGCAAGGCAGCTTCATGCCACACTCATTGGTTACTGAATTTACTGGCGAATGCTGCCTACGGTTTGGAGGTTTTGCTTGGGACAAGTGCCTTTTTTTTTTGGTTGTCAACTTGTCATTCCCTACAGGTTGTTGGTTTGAATGTTGACTACGTTTTTGTTGCCAACAGCTTGTTTTTTGTTGCCTACAGCTTGTCTTTTGTTTGCGTAGATCGGTGCTTGTGAACTTTCTCTGCATTGGGGCCTTGCTAATCTTGTGTCTATTTTGCACGTCTTTGGGTGATGAACCACAGACGTGCAGTGCTGATATGCTGGCCAACCTGGAGGGAGTTCTGCTTGAGAATGTTCAACATGTGAGTTCAATTCGATGTCTTTTGTCTCTTATCTCTTTTGTCCTGTACCTTGTCTGAATTGTCTCTTGTACTCTTTTCCCTGTAGAGTTGTATACGTGGCATGCAGGTTCGGTACGATGGTGTTTGTTAACGCACCGCTGCACTGACTGTACGCGGTTGATCCTCCGTGGATTCGCTTGCATTCTTTTCCTCGTAAACAGTGTTGACGTGGCATGTGGGTTTGTTACCATAGTGTACACTTTACATTAAAGCACTACTGACAGTGCAACAACGATCGGAAGTCAAATCAGCACAGGACACGTCTTAGGGTAGAACCCATCGGTCTACTTGAAGTTCACGGGTCAAAGGTGGGGTGCTACAGCCTCTAAAAGGGCTCTGGAAGTTCGTTTGGTTGGTAGGCCTATGGTCAAGGGTCAAATCGAGGTGCCCAGGGCCTCTAGAAGTCAAAATAGGCCTTAGGAAATTCAGCAGTCAGGCCCAACCCGGGTACGGAAGTCGAAAGAGTCAAAGATTCATGGAGAGCCCACCACGGCCACAGATCACAGACAATGTAAGGCCCAGTACAGATGCTGGAACTTTCCAAGGCCCGCCAGGTCCTGGAATACTCCGGCCACAGCATATTCTTGGCCTTACAGATTGGGAAATCTCAGCCACGCGAGGGAGCAACCAGAGGCAGGGCTGGCTGAGTCAAAGTTACAATACTGAGCCAACCCCAGGTTGTGCATGCATTCTGCCTTGCACTGGCTTCAGGCTGGACGAGTGCCTCTGCTCAAGCTCTAGTGCTGGAAGAAGGCAAACACTGAGTGATAGTGAAAGGCCTTCCATGATTCAGACCCCAAATTCGAGTTTCAGGGTCAAAGGCCTGGGCCAATAAAGGCCAAGTCGGTCAGTTTCAGAAGAGTCACAGTCGGGTACCTTAGCAGTCAAGTCCAACAGGCACCCGGCAAGCAGTCACATCCCAGGGGCAAAAATCACGTATTATAATGAAAAGTCATATTGAAAAGTCACATTCCACAGGCGAAGGGCACTTCCCCAGGCAAGAGTCGTGTCCCAGAAGCAGGAGTCACAAACCACAGTCAAAAGCCATGTGCCACAATCAAAAAGTTGTGACTCACAGGTCCAAGCAGCAGCACACCATCGGAAAATTCGGGATAGTACCAGGCCCTGACACTCGGAAGCAGACAGGCCTTGGGCATGTGGTACCAGGCCGAGGTGAACCATTCGCAGCAAAGGCTGGGACAGCCAAAATGAAGTCCAAACTTTCAAAGGCAATATAAGGACTGGCCAGCCTCTCATTCGGGCAGATTGCTCATTCGTGCTGGTGCACTTGTGCACTATTGTGAGGGGCAGAGCGCTGAGCCAGAGAGCTGTGCCAAGAGGGAGAGCGAGAGAGAGAGTTAGCGCTGGCAGGGAGAAGGCAGCCATAGCTGCACCAGTGCAGATTGTTAGTACTAGGTAGTGGCAGTTAGTAGGTATAGCAGTGGGTGTATTCAGAGTAGTAGTTGGTGAGTGTGCAAGCATGTAGGGAGAGAAGACACAGTGAGGACATAGCTAGAGAGAAGACCAGAGAGAGAGAGACAGGGAAGAGCAGAAGAGCAGAAGGGGGAGTACCTGAGAGTTGACGCTGGTGACTTGAACTCCTATTGCTCCTGTGATAATTTGTTGAAATCCATAAGCTGCGTTATCTGGTTATCGACTTTCTGGCATCCAGTGTGGAATTCGTGCATCTCATTTGTGTTTGATGCATGTCTATCATAGTTGCGGTGCACGTCGGTGCGCCGGTTTGCACACGGTTTGCGCACGTCGCGCCGCGCACCGCACAGCGCACCGAAGCGCAGCGCACTTGAAAAATTAGGTCCAAAAAAAAAAAGAAAAAAAAGTAGGGGTTTTCTAATTTCTTAGGGCCCCCAACTCGGCAAAAATGTTAAACTCACCGCGCAAGTTCACAAACCGGCCGCACCCACAGCCCAAACTTTTCTTTTTGGTAAGGGCTGCTGAAAATTCGATTTGCGCAGGCCCTTCCCCAAAAAGTTTCGAATGGCGAGGCAGAAAATAGGGCTCATTCCAACTTTTGTTTTAGGCGGGGTATGAGAGATGTCCTTCCCGCTGCCTTCTGCAAATCCCACACTGTAGTGGGGTCAGTTCGCAAGAAGGGGTAGTTGCCTAATACCGACATGCCCCGCGAAGCTTCGCAGAAGTCGCAAATACTGCCAGCCGACCACCAATATATGCTGAAGATTGGCGTTCAGGTCCGCATGTCGGCAGTTATGGGTTAGGATGAAGTTGCCCGTGGCTCTCTCGTTTTTT